TGGACTTGTCAGGGCTATCGCAAGCGTTATCATTCGATTCTAACGAACTAGTTTGCCCACTGATGTATTGATAAATAGGTGTAATTGTAAACCTATGTCGTGATCTCGGTTTGATGTTTATAGCGCTGCTTACTCATAAACAAGCGATTGTTCAGTAAACGGTGCTTGCGATAGAAAATAAAATAACTATAAAATTTTACGGCTGACAACTTTCACTATAGCATTGACAAATAACAGCAAATTGTACAAACGTTATTGTGAGAGTTTAATTTCTTATCTGTGCTGTTATTTTATATTGATTACAGTTTTTTTCATGTTAAATTTAAAAAGTAGAATGTTTATTATCGTAAAAAGTTATTTGAATCGTACTACGCTAATTAACATTAACGGTTCGCAACCCTATAGCGTTAGTGTGCAAATTAGTATAGGAGAATGAGTACATGAAGTGTCGGATTGCAAGCGTCGGACGGACGAGGGCCTTGGCCAGCCCCCGACAGCAAGCGATTATTTATGATCTTCCTTACTTTCGCATTGTATCCTACTTAAGGTATCGATATGTAGCCGTTATGATTCAATCGTCGGTGAGAATATAACGAGTACTAAGACAGCGAATGAATTAATACTTATGGAAGTACTGATGTCAATCATTCCTGTAAGTGATTTAAACGTTCATTCATCTGTCGTTCTCACGCGCGAACTTTTGAAAATGGAATGGAGGATTGATGTGAGTTAATAAATTAATAGACGTTTTATCAAACAAAATGGAAAGGTGACTAGCGGTTTAAAATCGATATTTTATATAAAATATTACAGCACGCCAGCACATGTATAATGTATATTTAATTTGTCAAACTTTAGAATTTCTACAATATTTACATTCACTTTATGTTTAAAATTATGAATCCTCACACTTTCATCATAGATTAAGTAAAAGTTTATAGGATACTTAAATTGCACGTAGAAAAGTAGAAATTGTGGAACTGTCCCTCTAGTAGCATTTTGATTTCAGTATTACAGTCTGTATGTAATATTTATTAACAAGTTTTATAAAATTTTGGTGTTTATGTCATTAATATTTAAAAAATTAAAATGTTTTAATAAAATATACCCAAAAATGCGTTTTAAGAAGTATAGAGAATGGTTTATACGGTACCACATCTGTACGAGTAGGTATATTTTGAAGAAATTACCATCATCATGAAACATACTTAATTTTTTCATTTATGAACCTTGTATACTTATAAATTACAACATTGAAGTAGGCTATTTAATAAAGTAGTGTGCCGATGGCAACTAAGACTAAGTATAAACTCCTAAAACAAGTATGGAAATAGCCTAGGGATCTACCGCATCAGTGAAATGGAAATTAGTAGCAAGTTTTGGTATTATTGAATATAATGAATATTATTTTAGGATCACCTAATCTAGTGTTTCATATATATATTCAAGGCAATAAAATAAAAAATATATATATTATTTTAAAACATCGCTGATTTACATTTTATATTGGGGGAATCTCAATTTTGTAGTTTCGTAAACACAAAATTACTAAAATTAGTACTGTAAACATTAGCCACTTTAAAAATATACAAAACTGAAACTACAAACTGATTTATTTAAAAAAAGTATATATCCATAATAAAGTAACGTACTTGTAATTATACTTCAGATAAAAGTATCTATATTTATTTTTTAGTTGTGCAGTTCCTGTTGGAAATCGAAATAATAACTTCGGAAAGGTGTAAAAGCGAAATAACAACATTTAGTAACATGTTAGAACCTACAATTGTAATTAATATTAAGAAACTATCCACTATCAGATTTCACTCAATATTCAAGTTTATATCAATATGTGAAATCGTAAATACTTGACGATGTCATAGAATAAGTTGAAGCGGTATTTAGGTGCATATAGATTTAGTTACATCTTATCTTCTATATATATAAAAATGGATTGCTGTTCCTTAGTCTCGTTAAAACTCGAGAACAGCTGAACGGATTTATCTTATCTTAGTCTTGAAATGTTTGTGGAGGTTCAGGAAAGGTATAAAAGCTGAAAAAAATTGAGTCATTACTGGGAAAACCATAAAAACAGCCCTTTTCTATTTCCCATACAAACGTTTTTTCGACATTAGATTTGACAACTAACTAATATGTCAATCATTCTGTCGCACTTCAAAACACGGAGATTTATGGCTTACAGGTAAACTCCAAAAATATAAATAAAAAAAACGTAATAGATATTTCTTGATTATAGGGCGATACGAAGTTCGCCAGGTCTTCTAGTAATATATAAAATTCTCGTATAGCGGTGTTAGACAGAGAACTTTTCCAAAACGGCTCTACCGATTTTGATGAAATTTTGTGAGCACATTGAGTAGGTCTGAGAATCGGCCAACATCTATTTTTCATATCCCTAAGTCATGAAGCTTGTTCACCCTTAAATTTTTTTTCGGACGAAATAATTGTTTCTATTTTTTTTATAATGTAGCATTAAAAATATATACAACTTCTATTTTTTATATGGCAAAACAACGTTTGCCGGGTCAGCTAGTTACACATAAAAAACGACCACAAATATAATATTTATTTAAACGTTATTATATTTCGTTGCCGATCATACTTTTTTTTTCAAATTTTTGAGACACCTAAGTACGTGAAATATAAAAGTTTTACCAAAATGTATATTACGTAGGTATATTTATGTTTTGAACATCTACCCTTCTGGATACATTTTGTCGATGAAGCATATTAGTTTTTTATTGATACTGAATTTTAACTGAGTTTAAAATTAAGATGTCTTTTAACAACTTTTTCAACTGAAGAGAAAGGGGTTTGACTTCAAGAACTGTCTGTAGCATTGTACTCGTAGCTTCTAAACCAATCGATCTATTTTGATGCGTTTTCTTCATTTAAAAACCTGATAAAATGCTTTGGTTCTTAGCTATATAACGTTTATATCGGTCTGGTAGTGTACGTATGACTTAATTGTGTATCAATCCCTTTCCAAACTAATGTAACGCAGTTTTGGCTTTTTATTTGGCTTTTGTATAATTATTTTTTTATTTCGTTCTTTTTTAAATGTTTTTTTATTATTTTCGATCCCATTAATTTATTTATTATTATTCAGATGAAAAGAAGAAAAAGCAATTTATTAAATTATTTTAATTTTGATTCAAAAGAGAAAAAGCAATAAATTTAATTGTCTGCCTTTGAAATTAATTTCGTATCGATTGGAGCCCTGCGTCCAAATTGAATTTGTACTTCAGAGTAGACATAGGCACTAATATATTTCTGATATTGGAAAATAAACGTCGTAATAATTTATTTAAAAAAGATTTCTAGACTCTATATATATTTTATTTCAATTTGTCTGAACTGTTCGCGAAGCAAGTATTTTATCTCTACATAATTTCAAAAGTCGCCTCTCAGTTTCACATGTCGTGACTAACAGATAATAAAACAAATATGTAGTATTGCATTAAGACAACGCGAATTATTTATGTCAACACTTTTAATATAAATTATGAAAAATGTCGATTTAGTCTAAATCCTTTCATCCATTTACATCTGGTCAGTTTGAAAGATAAAAAAAAAATTACATACACTTTAAAAGTCAAAATGTGAGCATCCTTTACTTTTCTCTGCAAGTTTTAAAAACTACTCAAATCAGAAGAGTATTTATAACAAAATTGTAAATGCATATTAATGTAGGTACCTAATGTACCATCATCGTAACATTATATTATAAAAAAAATAAATTGAATAGTAATGTTAATAATGACTTATAATTTTCATCCATTAGCCGTAATACTGAGTTCATTAATTCAGTTGTTGGATAAATTGCGATGTAATAATATCGTATGTCTGTAATAACCGGCACTCATCTCCACTTCCATCGACAGGGCACGGTGAATTAGCAAAAAATAATCATCAAACATGCCGACGATATTGACCCCTCGTCTTGCGAGAAGGACATGATATTCCAATGAAATTATTTTTGTAATTACTTTGTACTAAAACAAACACACCTTATACTTGTTTTCAGCTTCGCGAATACTAGTAAATGGATTTTACACTCTTAAATCTTGTAAGCAAACTCTCATTTTTAATAAGACTTAAATAGAAATTGATTTTTATATTTTCTGTATGATCAGGATAGTGCTTTAGATTGTATGATAGGTACGTTTTTGTAGGTCATTCTTAAAATAACCGCAATACGGACATCTGACATAATTAAGACGTCTCGCAAAAAATGTGATCTACAACACAAATCCTGAATGAATAACGATCTTTCATCGTAAGTTCTTTAGATCGTTTACAATTTAGCCATGCGTTTCGTTTGATTTTTTCATTCGAAGCAGGGTTCACTACATAGATATTATATTAATAGTATAAAAAATACTTCCAAACTAATATTCAGAAACTTAAAGCCAACTAAAGCTAGCATTATTAGTGGATAGACAGGGTTTTTATTAAAAATATAAATAACTTATTTAAATTAGTCCTTTAATTTAATATTTTTAATTCTTAATTTATTTTCTTCTTTTTATAAAGAGCATTTATATTACAAAAATTAGTATGTACAGATTTTCTAAAACATTTTTGTTACAGCGAATGTACAAAGATTAAAAGAGTGAAATTTGTTGAGATGCATTAAAGAGCAAAAGGATGACTTCAATCACGTGAAGTGTATACTTTTCTTTGAAGTGTATAACACAAAGCACCATGTTTATTGCTGTAAGTGTATTACGCCAGGCACCTTTCGGAATGTCAGCCTAGACGACTTGGGTACAATAGTTACATATGGTTGTAATGCTCTAGGCGTATGCGTTAACGTTATGCAATGTTTTATGACATTTTTTGTTATACAAGACAATAAATAACAATTTCATGGTCTATTTATCAGCCAATCGTGACAACGACTACCCACATATATACAAATTTGACTAAAATAAGATGTATTACAATAAAGTAAAGGTTTTTGTGCATCGTAACTATTAAATATCTAATTTATTAATTTTCTCTAAATCTTTCCTATACTTGTAACAGTTTTTCTCATCAACATATACAACGGTCTCTCTGGGCTGCAAAAGGACAAAATATAAAAGAAAAAGTACATAACTAATACACATACTGACGAGTGTCACAGTAACTACGAAATGTTTCCACCAACTGTGAAGATTATTATCAATGGTCGCCCATAATGATATGAATACAACGATCTCAACAGTGCACACTATGATCCAAAACACATGCCACACGCGAACGTGGCGGAAACGGATCTTAAACTCCATAAGGCAAAATAAGTATATGAAGGCGAGGAACACATAGAAAGCCCTCTTCACTGTACTCGCCTGTGGGACTATTAAAAATAACAACATGGCCTGATAGTGGCACATAAGAATTATAATCGCTACGAACGGGAAAAAATCTATGAAAGCTGCGATAGAGAGCAAACGCGCTACAAAAAAACTATACCATCCTAAAAAATTTACTAAAGCTGCTGTAGCGTCTTGAGGCTGGAGACCTCGCATGTAGTTGCGTGGTACTCGCCGTGGGACGTCGGGTTCCTCTGGGATAACTTCCCAATGTTTTCTTCTTGGCGGTGCTGATAGCCAAGTGGGGATTGATTCCGCGTTTTCAACTAATTTCTCCGCCCACACAGCGAAGGACCCTGGCCTCGGGGCCATGAACGCTGGCGGCGGAGGGACGTACACATGCTCTACCGTGTATTCAGTGGATCGTCGCGGTGCTATTTTATCTATAATCGATATCGGCTTAACGTATTCATCGTCACTGTCTAGTATCTCGTTACGCGTCTCAGGAGGCGAGTAGTCAGAACTTGTATCGGAATGCGAATTGTAATCGATATTATCGTCATATAATACGGAATTCTTTTCTGAGTTCCTCGGTGAGAAATGTATCAAATCACTTATAATTTCATCCCTGTAATCATTTGTTTTGCGAGTAATTGATGATGAATGTCGTTTTATAACAGAATCAAAAAGAGGTTCGTCTGTAACAGTTTCATTTGTTTTGTTTTCTTTTTCAGTATCAGCGGTTTTATTTAAATTTTCATTTTCTGTCTTAGCATTCCACGGATATTTACGTCCGCACAGTTTTTCTCTTTCAAATCTTCTGTATATCGTAGCAGTACTCGCCATTCGAAGTGATGAAGCAATCATACTCACTGCTTGTAGAGTCACTGTAATCATAAAATATGTATTATAAAATGCTTTTTATAAATTAAAAGTTCTATATAGCTTGAGACCTTTCATGTCTGAGAAAGTGAGAGTAACCTTGATTGAGTCACTTATTTTATCGATTTTTAATTACTGTGACACAGTATATGGTCCCAGATTATTGAAAAAGACAGAAAAAGCTATACAAAGAGTTCAGAATGCTTGCACTAGGTTTTGTTTTGACGTACCTAAGAGGTCACATATATCTCCTTTTATTAATTGTCACAATATTTTAAACATGAAATCACGTAGGAACCTTCATCTAGCAGTATCATTACATAAAATTGTGCGCAGCAAAAAGCCGAATTACTTATATCAAAAGCTTGACTGGCTAGAGAATAGAACAGACAGGAGCGTCCGAGAAACTGAAAAGCTTAAACTATTAATACCTAAACATAAAACAGCAGGTTTTAAAGGTGCTTTCAAATATGATGCAGCAAAAATTTGGAATAACCTACCACCTCCCCTACGTGATTGTCATTTCTCAATTGTAACTTTAAAAAAACACCTTAAAGAATATTACCTACGTCTACAAGTAGAAGCACCTACGTAAGAAAAACAACTTTATAAATGTATATAATGTACTAATTATTTTATTTAATCATAGTTTCAATTGTCCTAGTCATGATGTACACATAAAATTTATGGTTGTTATGATGCGAAGATGTGCGTGTATTAAGTTTTTGTCGTTTTTTTAATGTTTGTTTTTAAAATTTAGTTGTAAGCTGGAGAAATCGTTTGTTTACTTTTTGTTTGTTTATTTTTTGTGTTCTATAATAATATTAGTTCTTTTTTTTTGTATTACTTTAATGTGTTACGGAACGGTGCGGCGCTTTTAACTACGTCGACATAATGTGGAAGGAGCAAGCTGAAAATCAGCGCTGGGCATAGCACAGCACATAGCTGAGCTTGTAACCAATTGCGATATGATCGTCAATGAAAACGAGTGGTAAATTAAGAAAAAGAAATTGTTTGCCAGTATGAATAATTTGTATCTCCTAAAAATATGTATACGACCTATCTGAAGCAATAAAGTTTTTTATTATTATTATTATTATTATTCGAAATAAGTTTATATACCTGTACGATGATGATAAACAAACTATTTATTTTCTTTAAAGCTTAATGATTTTTAATATAAAATCTATTTTAAAGATTTAAAACAAATAATACTGATATATTATATCCCATTCAATTTGTAAATAGTTATGTACATATTTTAATATTGCCGTTAGTTATTGCCTGTTGTAGCGACATCTCTTAGTGCAACAACACAACTTGTAAAATTATAGAACCCATAAAATGACAAATGAATATTAAAAATATTACTTAAATACTTTTTATTTATACTTTATTGCTTCTTTTATAACATAATTTTTCTATATCTCACAGTTTTGAACTAATGGTCAGTAAAAACTAAAATGGATAATAAGTAAATTTAAACATTTTTATTTCCATTTAAGTAAAAGGCAGCTTATAGTTAAGAATATTTTTAGGTTTTAACTATTCCCGAAGATCCTTAAAGTTATTTGGTATAACAGTTGTAGCAAAACACGTGATAAGGAAAACACATCAAAAAATAATTTCGATACAGTTATTGAACATAAATTATTCGGTTCTCTAAACCTAATTCCGAAAATTAGCGTGGACAGAGTCACGGACGAAATTAAGAATTGTATATTACGCATGATTTGAGAATTTATATATATCTACATAACAAAAACCCTTTTTACTAATGTGACCTTACGGCTGTTTCCACAGAAAGCAGCCGCGACTATGGACCTTCGCTTAAAATGCCTTTTGAAAACAAAGGAATGTGTGTATTTTGTTGTGGCCACATTTAATTCATTCATCCGTCTAACACTAGAGAACGCTAGACGTTGCTTGACTCGTATGACCGTCATAAGTCCTACAGGTCATTGGGTTCTTGAGACTTAATTAAATTAAGAATTAGATAGAAAACTCAAGCTCTTAATTCCATTGAGACTTTTAATTTTCGGTAAGAAAATTAATATACTTATTCTCATACTTCTATCATATTTCGGATCAGCATAGTTCGCCATCATATCCAAAATGTTTACAACGACGTAAGGCGCTGAATGTATGAAAGCTTGCAGGAACAAGTATAGCTCGACCGAGGATGGTGTACGAGCTTTGGAGAGGGCTTCCTTTGTTCTGTCTTCATCGTTTGCGCGAGCGGCGTACACCGCTTCTATCCACCAAAATATTAGAAAACAGTATCTGAAACACAAAGACTAACTATAGAATTATATAAGAAACAATTCGATTCCAAAAGTTGTATTATTCATAAAAAATATTGATAACCTGCCACAAACAGATATAGGAAATAGTACAGTCTTCAAAATTTCTTCGAATATCCATCTGACGTCATCATTGTTAATCGTAACTGAAAAAGCTGATTCCTCGGTCTGTAGGCCAGGTGGCGGTGATGCTAACGTAAATATTAACGAGAGCAGTGCTGGCAATATCATTAGTATTAGATACAATATGCCAAGTCTAGAAAGAACAAAACAATTTTTATTATTCGAGATTATACATACAGACCTATAATAGTTTACTGAATCTATCCGTAAATTACGTATTCACTTTTTCTCCTAGCAAATTCTAATATTTTCTTTGCTTCTAGGTACGAGAACGGAATAATTCCGTTTTTAGTGTTTTACGAATATCAAATGTTAAAACTTAATAATGTAGGTATCTTATACATTATAACTAATAATAGGTATTCATAACTATGATAATTCATTTATAATTATGTTTTAATATTATAAAAATATTTTTTTGTTTTAAACTGTCTATTTATGGTCTCTTTTTTCATTAAACTAAAACTATACTCACGCTTTATATCCATTATTTATATGTTCGTAAATAAGTGCTAAATCATAACAAATAACAGTCAAATAAATTGTTAGTCCGCCACAAGATGGTAGCACACGATGCAACAGCAATGCCTGCCAGGCCGGTAACTTCCACCCCAGCACTTCCCCAGATATATCATTGTCTAAGTCACACACCGCCATGTTTATATTTTTGTTTTCGTGATCACATATTATTTAAACAATGGATTTCCTGTTTATATAGTATAAAGTAACGTACACTCACAAACAGTAAGCTCACCCTCAATTCATTAATTTGACGTAAACGAGAAAATAAAATCCCGATAAAATATAAAGTTATGTATTGTTAAAATTTATATTTGCGACACAAATGAGAATTATAAGTTTAAATTAAATGGCGAGCTGCCCACGCCTATTGATAATACTGATTAGATAAAATCGTTGATTCAACGATAACTGCTGTCCTGTTTCATGGTTTTATTGTGTATTTTTGCAGATAACACTATATTCTTTATGAAACCACCATATTACCAAACAAAGTAGTTATCAACCTTGAAATTTTATTTTTAAATCTTATCTATTGGATCTTCATAAACCAAATATCCTCCTTTTTTTGGGTCTGGTTTAATTAATTATTTTTCCTCACAATGAGAGCGTTTATATGAAAAAAAACAACAGATATTTTATCTTAAATATCAACGTAATGAGTTGCATAGTGGAAATACATATTTTTCAACTTTTTGTAGGCTATGTGTTCATAATATATTTAAATTACACCGCCCCTATCCCCTGCGATGTAGTTATGAGTTTAATCTCCAGAAGAAATTGGTATACTTGAAAGTATGAAATGTTATAATTAATCATATTTTACACAAATATAACTTTAATTTGTTAAAAAATATTTTATAAATAGTATTTTGCTATCAAATTTATATTTTATTTGTCGCACTTTTGCCTTAAGATCGAAAACATACATTTGTTAAATAAAAAATAATAATTTTTTATTCGTAAGGTTTTACACATCGATTAGTTGGCACAATCGATATTGGACTGTCAACTTCGTATACTGACAGTCAGTAAAAAAATTGTCATATTTGATTTTTGACATCTGCTTCCTTAACCTTTTTATATATTTCTGTTTATTGTTATTTAAATCAATGTTAGATAAGTATAAAATCAAATATGTTTAAGAATATTCTTTCTTCTACTTATAATACAATTAGAAAAAATACAAAACTAGCACCTATTCTAATACAAAGCCAAAATGTAAATAGAAGACACCTTTATTGTGGTATTTGTTTACAAAATCCCAGAAATTCTAAATCCAATAATCAACCATCACCTGCGATATCTACTAAATATGAAGTTATAACAGAAGCAAACTCATTAGTTATCGAAAACACTGCAGAGGAAATTTATGGAGAAATGAAATATCCATTAATTAGTGATGAATTTGATGGTATTAATTTAGAAAGTAGGTATATTAGGTATAATTTTGAACACATCTCAGATGTCAGTTAGTTATTAGGATGTTTGACTTATATTTTTTAGGAGGTACAAATGGCGTGTATGAGATTGAAGACTTAGTGGAATTATTACAAAGAGAAAATTCTAAAGACATATTTGTGGCAACTGTACCCGAAGATATACATTTTGTACAGCACATTTGTGTAGTAAGTGCCAGAAGCAAAAGGCATATATTAGCACTTGCTGAATTTATAAGAAAGGTGTATAAAAAGAAATGTTTTAAAAGTGATCCTATACCACGCATTGAAGGAAAAGATTCTGATGAATGGGTAGCCTTGGATTTAGGTAAATTAACTGTTTTGCATATTACCATTTAATCTACACATATCTTTTGATGTCATATAAATATTAACGTAAACGGCATTATTTGTGAATGCATTATTAACAAAATGTGTTCACAATCAAGTAGAAATTTGCATTTCAAATGTTTTTGTTAAACTACTTGTCAATGTTTTCTAGGAAATCTGTCCATATACAAACTAAAGACTGTTACCTTGTCATAGATTAATCTTGATTGAGTGATCTATTTTCAGTTTCACTATATTTTTTTAGGAATTAACTTTATGTATTAGATTGTTGTTTAATTCAAAATATTTTATTCCAGGCAATATAGCTTTGCATATATTTTCTGAGAAGACTAGGAAGATATATGATCTGGAGACATTGTGGTCGGTCGGAGCTGAGTATGACGAAAACATCACAAAGAGTAGTGAAGTTGTTGATTTACTAGAAAATTATAGTTCATATCTAAAAGATCTTAAACCTTTGTCTTAAGTTTCCAAGTTGTTAGAAATATAATTACTATATTTAGTTAATAAAAGTATAAAAAATAAATGCTTATTATTAATCCTATATTATGTTAATGATGGTCAGTCATATTTTCATTCTCGGGTAAACTATATCTTAAACTGAACATTAAATGCAATTAAAAGTCTCATATAAAATGTTTATTTTACTTAATTACAATTATGATACATAAAAGTATGGACTGCATAACTTAATCACAAATGTTAATTGCTTTAAAGTTTAAATAGTACAACTTAATCAATTCCCATTTTATTGTATAATGGTATATAAATATTTATTTTCTATTGAAATAATATATCTTGATTGTATAATGTAACAAATTCTAACTAATGATGTTACATATTCCATTTGATTACAAAATAATTTGGCATAATTTAATATATAACTACCTGGAATTCTAAATGCAATAAAAATATAAACGCTAGAAACATATTAACATTCATACCACAATCACAAGATCCTTAATTCAGTCAATTTCACATTCTAATAAATAGCCTAAGTTAGCATGAAGCAGTGTCAGTTTTGAAGCATTTTATTTGTGCTTCTAACTTTGAAAAAATTAACAATTAATATGGAAGCCAATATCAAAGAATGAATGTAAGAATGACAGTTAAGTAACAAATAAGTGATTATTGGTATAATACAAAATATATTGGACCTCATTTTGTAAGTCTTTCATTTTAAAAACTATTATTACTATAAAACACATAAGGCTGACATTATCAGTATTCTAGCAAGACTTTCTGTTTTTGTGCACTTCCATTTATAAAAAACATAATTATTGTTAAAACAATTATTAATCATATTATAAAAAAATTATTGACAATACCATTGGTATTAATTAATAGATTCCAAATTGTATATTTGGCAGTTTGCATCACATTCATTGTAAATTATTATCCATTAATACTGCACCAAAATTAAAATATATTTCACAATTAGGTGCAAACTTGCTTACATTATTATATGGAATTGTTTGATCAATTCTGATGTAGAAAGATCTTTCTTCCATAGTTTAATTTAAGATAAAATGGCCACACTACGTCTTACTCCAGCACCTGAATTGACATTATCTAAGCTTGACCACTTTTTGATACCATTCTTAACTTCAGCTGATATTTTATCCTCCATAACTCTCGACATTGCTTCCAATTTCTGTGCCCTCTCTTTGCTCAACGGCTCACTGGGGAAAGCTAAATCATTTGCCTCTGCCAGTGTACGTAAATCAAAATAATATTTAGCGTACACACTTGATGGAACATTAATATTAAACTGTAGCATTTCTAAAAACTGTCTCTCTAACTCATTCATATCTTCTACGGTGATATCTTTCAATATTTGGCAGTAATCTACGTTCCACACAGCTTGATCATCCCAAACCTTGCTAGCGAGCAGTATTGCTCCTAATACAATTCTTTTCCAATTAGATGGTGCAATGTCTAGATCGGCACATATAAGAAGTCTCTCCAAGTAAACTAATGTAATTATAGCACACTCTGCTGTTAACTGAGCAGCATTAAATAGTGTTCTGACAAATTTATAAATCTGTTTGTGTTCTGGATTATACTTGTCATAATCATCACTTACACCTTCTTTACTTAATGGATGCATTTTCTCATCAAATATATCGAGTCTGCGCTCGGATGTTCTATTTTTTATGTGATAGTATATTGCTAAAGCGACACATTTAACAGTGTTCTTTAGATTAGGTTGTGACACAGTACTATCATCTAAATATATAGTAGAACATGAACTACTTTTTTTCATTTTATTTTCAGCGATTTGGTGCTGGCTTCGCTTTCTCGTGATGCCGTTCTCGATTGAAGCTTTAGATCTTTCCATAAAAATGGTACCAGCAATTGGATCTTGTGACGGATCAATGTCTCCATCGTCGGGTTCTCTTTCACTTATATGTTGGATATTATTAGAACTCACTTCACCTTCTGGAAGGTAGTCTTCTAGTTTAACGATGTCTTTTCGGATTGGTGAAGGACTTCGGTAACAACAGCAACTGCTCTGGTTACCCATGATTGAATTAGCGACGTACGTTAAAGATAATAACTCATTATCATTCTTCAAGAACGTCTTTAGTCACACATAAATAGTGCCGCACACCTAGTACGACTTACAAACCCATAGTAACTGTAACAAAAGGAAAAAGAGAAATCACAATAAAATAAAGTATTAAACATGTAGGTTAAATCAAAAACTAAGGAATATACCTTTATATTAATGATCACATTACTAAAGATATTAATATTATATTATATTAAACATTTACATTGTACATCGGAGCGGAATTCATTTTCTACCTTGACAGTTCACAGAAGCTGACTATCTTGTCTAGAAGTTGCTCGTGTTATAGATAATAAATAGGATACTAATATTTGTTGATAGAGAATAATTTTTAAAAGTTTCATTTATCTAAAAAAAAATATAAAAAAATTAATAGTGACTTGTGTTTAATATTTTTAACCAACTTAATATAATAAAATGAATTAAAGCTTATGAAAACTACATTAAAGTGATACAGGTAAAAGACTAAGTTTAAAATTAAATATATATAAAACTATCTTAATGTTTTAATTCGGCACATTAATTGTAAATAAAGAATATTTTGTATTAAAGGGTTTAAAAAAAAGTTTTGTTAATCGGTTTTTGAATTGTTCAGTAAACAAGACACCACTAAATCTCTTTAATTGAATTCAATATGGCGGAATGGTTAGCTTGCTTTTCTAGTAACAACGCTTAAATAAGGTTGTAAATAGAAGTAATTGCATATTATTACGAACCAGTTAGTGAGATATTTTGAGTTCAACCATTTATTTGTTTTGACTATCTTTACAAGAGTTGGAAAGTTTTAGATAGCCTAAATATAACAATGCGTCGTAAAAGTGATCGCACCGCTACTAAGAAGACAAAACCTTCGCCGGAAAAAAAAGAAAAAAGTGGAAAAAGTTAAACGACCTAGAACACGGCGTAGAAAGCAGTCAACAACATCTGAAAGTGAATCTGCTGAGGAGCCCGCTCAAACAGTACAAAAAGTAGAGGTTGTAGAGTCGCCAAAAGAACTCCCTCCAAAATCTGTAAAAGAGGATAGTCCTGAAGAATCCCAAGAGCAGGTTTGGCATGTTAAGGCTACCGAAACTTCGGGTGATGTTGGTGAAATAAAAAAGTTGAAAATATGTCTTGCTCGTCCTTCGTCCACTCCAGAAAGAGTGGATAGGTCACCAAGAAGTAAAAGGAAGCATTCTCGGGCCACGAGTTCCAGTGATACTCCAAGTGTTGAGAGTGAAGATAAAAAAAAGTCGAAACATCGTTCCAGACGAGGCGCAGCCGAGGCAAAAGATATAACTTCAGACAAAAACCAAGACAGTCAAGGTGATGAAGCAGAAGTTGAAGCGCCACTTGTAGTTCCAACAGTATCAGAGTCTTCAGCAGTTTGTAAGGAGTCAATGAGTGTCGAAATTATTGTTGATGAAACTCCTATGTCAACGACCAATGAGGATGAAAAAGTTGAGACAACAATTTCAGAAACTGTTACTCAAAACGAACCTAAAGATATTGAGACATCAAAACTGGATGTACCGGTTAAGTCATCTGATGCTGATACAACAGTGCTATCACCTAAACCACAGGTAGATAATGACAATGTGGAAAAAGAAATATCTGGAATTGATGAAAAGCGTTTACCTGAAGAGAAAAGCAGTTCTATTGATGAAGACGTTAAAGAAACACCTTCAAAAGAAGAGGTTTCTGAAATAGGAAAAGTATGTGAGAGTGAAGAGAATGTTACACATGAGAAGGAAAAGGAAATGGATAGTGAAGAACCTATTGTATCGTCTGAAGTTGAAACGGAAAAGGTTGAGGAGGTGGAAGAAAATACTAAAGAAGATAAAAGCCCTTCTGAAGAGAAAATATTAAAAGAACAAACACCAAACGATTTAAAAGAAGAGGCAAAATCTGTATCTCCAAAAAAGATTGATAGTCCTGTAAGGAAACGCAGTTTGTCTACTGAGAAATCTGAAATTTTGGAATTGCATGCAGAGGAAAGTCGGTGTGATTCAACAGAAATGTGTTTGAATGAAGCTCAGGAAAATGAGTCACAAGACAATCGGCTAAAAGAGGTTAATGATGTGGTATCGAGTGAGGTAAGTATTAATGAAACTTCAACTGAAATTTCAGAGAACACCACTTCTATCAAGGATGCTGTAAGTACTAATGAACATAATGTTGTAGAGAGCTCTAAAAAAGTAGAAACTATAAAGCAATCAGCTGATACTGCAGTTGATAATTCTCATGAAAAAGCTGATATGGATGCCGAAGTTGTTACAAATTGTCCTGCGGCAGCCGCAACTAGTGAGCCATCGAACACGGTCAGCCATGACATTCACAATGGACAGGCTACACCATCAGTAACAAGTCGGAAAAGACGGTGGGGATCTCGTCCAAATAGACTAACAACTCAGAAGTCTATCACCATTTCTACTGATATTCTTAAAGAAATTATACCCGATGTGAAGCCAACGGAGTTTGACGAAGTTATCGAAGAAACAAAACATAAAAGAGTGGAAGTATCAGAAAAAGTAGAGAGACCAGTATTACCAAAAATTGTTATTGATAATACGGAAATTGTTGAAAATGCTAAAAAGGATAACAGGGTGGATGAAAGAGACAAAGAAAATGTTAAATCAAGAGACACAAATCTGGCGACATCAAGAAAAATATCCATAGTGAAGGAAAATGACAGTATAATTGCAAGGCCACCGAGCCCACCGAGGCATAAACAGTCAAATATACTATATATAACTAATCTAGTGAGACCCTTCACATTGCTCCAGCTAAAAAATTTGTTACAAAGGACAGGGAGAATAATGGAAAACGGATTTTGGATCGATAGAATAAAATCCAAATGTTTTGTGAAATATGAAAATGAAGAGTGAGTAAACAAAGTTTTATTTATTTAATATTAGTCTAATTAATATAATTTCTATTGACATAAATAACTTTATTCTTCTTATTTCAGCCAAGCCATAGAAACTAGGCATGCCTTGCACGGTGTAACATGGCCTGTGTCGAATCCAAAAACATTACATGTGGACTTCTCAACAGAGGAAGACTTTAATAAGGCTCAAGAGAATGTTGGAACAGAAAATACACAAACTTCAACCATTCCTGGCACGGTGGAAGATTGGCTGAGGGAGCAAGATATGAAGAGGGAAAAGGGAGATGTGGTATGTTGATTTATTACAACTTTAAATGTCAACTATTATCAAAATATATGGATGATTGAAGGTATCTTAAACAACAATGATCAGAAGAGCAAAAAGGTTTTAATTGTCTATTAAAATTTTTGTGTAATTTATTTAAAAACACACTATGAATACTTTATTTTGTATGAGCAGTGTGTCCCAGATTAGACGACGTTTTTTACAGCAGCAGCGTTATCTATATATCTGTCTCTTAGTTAAAAATCACTAATGTTTCTGTCACCCCCCTTCCCATGTACGATATTATGGTTACAAGTTATTATAATATCTTAATTTGACTTATATTCTTTTGTAACTTTATGTCGTATATTTTTTATTAAAGCAAAAACCTTGGGAAAGGAAGGCGGCGATGCGTGAATGGGATATGGGCAAGAATGACAAAGATAAGGAAGTTTCAAGACCGGAGAAGACTGTCCGAGAGGAAAGACCTCTTGAGAAAAGAAGACATCGGACACCAGAAAGAAGTCCTGAACCGGGTTAGTGAATTTATTATTTAGCTAACTAATTAGTAGACTTTACCTTTTGTTAAAATTCTTTCTTGAATTAAATCTTTGAGAATTAAAACCAAACGATATATTATTACAGCAAGGAAATTTAAGAAGAAGGAAGAGGAAGCACCAGCCAAATTATTAGACGATTTGTTTAGAAAAACAAAAACCACACCCTGCATCTATTGGCTGCCACTGTCAGCTGAAACAGTAAGCATCTTATCCAATATAACTTGAAAATTTCGAATGTTCAATGAATTTTTTCGTAAATTATTGGATTGTTGTCTATAATCAATTTATGATTCTAGAATAGTTTACTTTCCCAATTTTACAATCCCAAAACACTCTTAACTTTTTTTATGGCACTTGTATTCTAAAAGGAATTTTATTTCAGATAGCAGTGAAAGAGGAACAAAGGCGGCAGCACATGGCCGAGCATGAGAGACGGTTGCAGGAGCTGCGACGCAACCGCAGACACTAACATGGTCCGTCTAAACACACACACACACACACACACACATATACACATACACACACATCCATAAATACCCACATACACAGGTATATACACACACCCACACATATATACCTGCACACTCAACTCTAAACTTGGCACACTAACACATTCTCATCCATTCCTCACGCCTCATGCCATCATTCCTCATCATTTTGTATTAATGCTTTGTCGTAAAGACATTTCTTTCCAGGTTCTCATTACTGTCCATAAAGACAGTCGAGTCAGTTCAAATTCCAGATAATAATTGCTTAATACTTTATAATGTACTCATTGTAAGACGACCTAGGTTTAATTAAAAGAGATCGAAGAAGATATGTTTATAAGGGATCCCTAGAGCTATCAATTTATATTGTACGAAATGTTATAGAAAAAAGGGAAGTGGGAAGGAAACCCATGATTTAATACGTCGTCGGAGTATCGCAGTCGCTCGATCGTGGCAGACATTTTGGAACTCCGCAGCGGAAAATACGCTTGTTTTTTGACTTAACTCGAGGAATCATCGTGTCGAGTTTCACCAATTTTTGTCCTGCAGCTGAACTATATGTAAACAGCTATGGAACTGAGATGGAGAGTCTTGAACGATAACTGTTTAGAAAATATTAGACGGTGATGGAGCAGCCAAGGAACGCGGGGGAAATTATCAAATGTAAATTAATAAGAGGTGTATATTTGGAAGGACTTAGTGGATTTGAAGTACAGACCTATGTTATAATATAGTGCCCTGAAGCGTGTCAGGTTATAGTATCGATGTTATATTGAATATCAAATAATTGTCACCATGTTATAAACACCATTCATTTGATGTCGAATAAACTTATCCCCATTACAAATTTGGTTTTATTTTTCCCTTTGAACTTAGCACGTTGATTTTATTCTGAATGAGATATAACAATTCTTACAATTTTAATTGATCGATGTAACCAAAACTATTTCCAAAAATTCTCAAGATATTACCACCATTTAATGTATAAAATAATCTCCCACAAAAATATGTTATATAGTTTTTTTATATGTATCTAGTATAGGCTATAATTCCTTAGTTTTTTTTCTATCTTAATGCCCGATAACTGATACATACTTAAGAAATTGTGCTATACCTATGTTGGTAGTCATTTAATTCATATTTTTTGTTAATATCTACAAACATTTGGTCCTTCAGGCTTCAGTATCAAGATATTCGGTAACGGGCAGATGTTAATTAAAGGGCTTAATTAAAATTTGTGAAGGCTTTTTTAGCATCATCTTGTATGTCTACTTCAATGTTTCCGCTGTGGAGATTTTTCAAGTTTTATAGTTTAAACTTTAAAGTTGTTTAATTTGACAATATCAGACACAAGGAAAGATGTTGATATTTGCTTTTGTTGCTTTTTAAATTCTCAATGTTTTTATCATTTATCGGGGTTTTTCCGTAGATTTATGTAAAATTAAAAAAAAATCATAAAATATTTTTTACTATATACATGTTTATAGTAGATAATTCTTAAGGTACCTACGATCAATTCAATTCATATTCGTATTTACTTATCAGTGATATTTAGTGTTTTATCTTGTGGATAAGAATTACTCTGATATGGGATGTTAGGTCAGTTGGGTTGGCGGATTCCTACCGTCAACCAATGAATATAGAAATAGTTATATAATCCAATAATGGTAAGTGCTCAGCCATTTAAAGGTAGGTACATATTTTATTATTTATAAAATGTCAGAGATCTAAATAATCGAACGTATGTAATTATTTTAATAAATACTTATTTACATTCATTAAAATTTTCCTAATTCTTGGGAAGTTTGAATAAATCTTAGAAGTAATTGCAGAAATCGTGACATATTTAAAAAAAATTAAGTGAGTTATACAGCACAATTGTCTTTTGCGTTAATTGTGTAACTGGTATAGGTACAGTCTGCCCTTAAATACTACAAATTTATTATTAAAAACGATTCTGAACTTATTGCTTTAATTGTCTTAACGTTTCATTAGGGCACGTGTCCATATTTTAGTCCAATTTAATCATATTTTGATAGGATCTGTTTTGCCTAAATATCACGCATCTACTTGCTTGTAAAATGATAAGAAATTCAATAAAAAGGATTATGGTAATTAATTGTTTTGGTATTCAGACATTTATCTTTAGGTATTATTAATGACATGTCTATAAAAATGTTGGAAGCTGTCATGGGTTCATAACGTAAAAAATGGTATTATTTATGTACAAAGTTTCGTACCCAACATTTGAGGACGAAATCAATCTTATATCAAAAGTTTTGTACGCTCTGGAAGAAATTATTCCAATAATATTTTTATACTGCACATTGTAATAATTAACTTTATATCGTAGGAAACATATTGCATTAAGTACTATCAATGTTTTTATGAAATCTTTGAACTACTAGGATTAAATAATAATGTAGTAGTTAAGTGCCAATTCGTTAAATTTGTATTTACATGTAGATGCAAACTTGGTTGGTATTCGCGTGTGTGCTGGGAGCAGCTATTGGCCAAGAGCCTTTTACATTGGAGGAATTCGTAAGAGGCCGCTTCAGTCAACGTGGATTCAACGGCACCTGGATATCCGGTAATTCAATTAACTAACGAAATTTTATATAATGAATTGTGATATATTTAGAGCAACCAAATGATATACATATATATTTTTTTATAAACCAGTTTTATGTAGTATGATATGCCTATCGTTCTTTTTTTGGTATATTCCAGACAATGAGTTTACTTACACGATATCCGGTGAACCTGGAATCTACATGTACAATGCTGAAACACGCAACTCAACTGTACTCGTTTCTGGGGAATTATTGGTACACTAAGCTACTATCAATTGTTAGATTAGCATACTTATTAAGCTAAAACTTTGCTTAGAAATATTCTAGTAAATAATATTTTTTGTTACTTTGTAATCCTTCCTTGTATTGAAAGTAAAAACTATTTTGAGATTTGATTTGTTCAGCTACCTATGAATAACTTATATAGATGGACTTATTAGATATTAAAGATTTTAGATGCTATTTTTATTATTATATTTCAAATAATATTTTAACATTTGCAGGGTTTTCTAAACACAAGCAGGCCTATTCTTTCAGCGGATAGGCGATTTATATTGGCACCAAGTGAAGTCCAGCAGGTAGGAAATAGAAAGAAACACTAGAAATTACATTTATTATTATATAATGTACATACTTTTTATAGATATTTATATAATAACAATTTTATTGTGTAAAATATTTAATTTATCTTGACTCATAAATTTATCAAAAATGATTATAGGTTGTAAAACAATGTTAATAAAGATAATGTTACACGTCTATAATCACGATGATATATAATTTTATACTTTGTGACCTATAACACATAATTTTCACCTTAAATTTTTCAGGTTTACAGATATTCAACAACGGCAAAATTTGCCCTTTACGAAATTGCAACTACGTAAGTTGAGTTAAAGTGATCTAGATATTCTTTCACTATTATATACAGTTTAGGAATAGTATTAGGTATTTATTTTTAATACCCATTTATAAACATCTGCATATAGAACTATATTATTGTTTTAGCAATGTGACAAACATAGCCAACCATGCCCGATTGCAGCTCTGCATTTTTGGTAGCGGACACTCGCTAGCTTATGTGTTGGACAATAATGTATATTACTTACCTGAGAACAGTACTTCAGCAATACAACTGACATCAGATGGAATTCCTGGTGTTATTTATAATGGTCACACAGATTGGGTTTATGAAGGTATTATTGTAATCCCGATACTTGATACTTGATATTCCAGCCAAAAAGAAAAAAGCTATATATCATCTATACGTCGGTGGTGTAATTGATTTATATATTTTATAACTCTTTCAGAGGATGTTATGTATACCGGAGTTGCTACCTGGTTTTCCACTCAGGGAACTTACCTCGCTTTTGCCAGCTACAATGACACTTTGGTGGAGACCTATTCTTACTATCACTTCGTGGATAAAAGTGATCCCGATGATGTCTACCCGGAACTAATTGATCTGAAATATCCAAAGGTGAGATCATTAAGTCTAAGACGAAACAAAGAAACTGACAAAGATTGAGAGTCATGCCAATAAAATAATTTCTTTTATTATCATACTAAGGTTGGCCGGACCAATCCAACAGTAAAACTTCGAGTAGTGGACTTGAGAACAGTTGCCACTAATTTGACCTACATCACCCTCGACGCTCCAGAGGAAGTTACCAGTGACCATATTCTGGGTGGAGTAACTTGGACAACAGATACAGAAATAGCTGTTCACTGGCTTAATCGAAGACAAAACTATACGGTCCTTAGAATCTGTAATTTACTGACAAACCGATGCATAGTAAGTCTTCATGTTTTATTTACTCAACTCAAACGTAAAATAATATGCTCATGATTTATTTTAATTAATTTAATGTTTATTCAATTTAGGACGAGAATCGATCACAGTCTAACGGTTGGGTGCCCATTGCTTTACCAAGGTTCAGTGAAAATGGTGATTTTTTTGTGTCAACTAGATGGTCGTTGAGGCAGGCCGACGGAAATATTTGGCAGCATTTGTATTTAAGTGTGAGGGTCAATGATGAAATAATTTCAACTTCCATCACTCCCGGGGCACACACTGTTAACAATTTCATTGGGATGGATGAAGCTAATGTGGCTTAGTAAGTTTCATATTCTTTTATGTAAAACTAGTTTTCCGCCCGCAGCTTCGCCCGCGTGGGGTTCGGTTATATCGCGTTTCCAAGAAAACCTTTCAAAAGTCTGAGATAAAAATTATCCTATGTTTTTTCTCAAGGTCAACTCTATCTCTGTACCAAATTTCATTAAAATCAGTTCAGTGGTTTAGGCGTGAAAGCGTAACAGACAGACAAACAGACAGAGTTACTTTCGCATTTATAAAGTAGCCTAAGTAACAAACATACACACACACAAACTTTCGCAATTATAATATTAGTAAGATAAGACTATTGGTATGTCTGAATTTATTGCGTGTTTGTTTTGGCCTACAGCTATTACACTCGTACGGTCACTAATGCCCCATGGCAGACTCAAGTGCACGTTGCGGGCGCTAGGGTGGGTTGTCTGAGTTGTCAACTCCAGATGCCTGATGGAGGACCCTGTGCTTGGGTCACCTCAACAGCTAGTCATAACGCTAGATATTTATCCATCACCTGCCAGTCACCTGAAGAACCGTCTGCTACTTTCATCGTCAATCCTCTGGTAATATTGATAATTACTTTCATTCCTCTTGATTATATGCAGATAGATCAGATATTAATATAAACAATGTAGGGGAAACTTGAATACTAGTAAGTTTTAGTAGTAGTAGTAATATATATAGTAATATAACTGCCTTATAAAGTTGTTGTTATATTATTTATTCGGCTGTTAGATTTGAGTTTGTACAAAACAAATAATATAGTTTATAGATTTGCTTTTGAATATTTTAATTTTTCCTCAGAATATGTCAGAAAGGTTCATCTGGGAGGATAATCAAATTGTCCGTGAGCGTCTTGTAAACAAAACTAGACCTATTACCCTCAACACGACAGTGCCTTTGGAAAATGGACATCCAGCGCCTGTTAAACTGTTCTTGCCGCCCGGACTCAATATATCCGACACAAGCGTGAAGTACCCCATGGTATTCTACGTGTACTCAGGACCCAATACTAATGTGGTTTTCGATACCTTCACTGTTGGTAAGTACTGTAAAGAAATTTAAAATAAAGCAAGAAAAAGATAATTTGTTACATAATAATTGATTCTTTTTGTATTATTCCGATGTATTCATGACATTTTATTATTCATAGATTGTTACATAATAACACCGAAACACTACGTCTTTTTATCGTAATACCTAACTGTAAAAAATATTTTTTCTGTGGTATAGTCGGTATCGAGCTTGCCCATAATACTTTATCTAATCAAACTTATTTAAGACGAGATATTAAACTGAATACTAACAAACTTTTATTAAAAAAAGCTAAAAATTAAATATTTAACTTACAACCTGAGAAAGTCATGTAAAACAAATGAAGTCTTCAACTTATTTAAGTTCGATACAAGCAAAGTGCAACTCAATAATCTCTTTCTCTGCTACTATTTTAGTGTAGTAGTGTAGTGTAGTGTTTTTAACAAGTGTGACGTCACACCAGGTTACCACTCCTACCTGACAACAAGTCGTAACACTATCTACATGATGGCTGATCGACGTGGGGCTGGACTTCACGGCCAAGACATGCTCTACTCCTTGAACAACGCTCTTGGTACAGTCGAGATCGAAGATCACTTCGTGGTACTGAGGTATTGGTGATGATGATCAATAAATCTTATAATATTCTTTAATTTTTTTAAGGTTTTTTTCCCAGCCTGCTAAGTTCTTTGAGTTATATTTGTTAATTGTAGATTCGTAAAACAATACGAAACATGTTATTGATTTGACAGAAAAAAAAATGTAAGAATATTAATACCACAACAATTCTTTAATATTTTGTTATTTAAAAATACTTTGATGAATTGTTTAATAATTCGTAACCTAAGAGTCAACTAGTCATTATATTAACAGATCTTTTATACCTAGTTAAATCTTTTTAAATAACACCTCAATGTTTAAATGCATCGCGGATTTCTTATACTCTGTAAAAACAAATATCTATCTTTCGCAATAATAACGCAACGGTGCACCATTTATGTCGAGCAGCTTTTTCTTGTGCATAAGATAGTTCACCTACATTCATTTATTTCAATGAGAACTCGTTTGTATGTAGTAGTTTAGTTTTTGATTAATATAATGTATAGGATTTTGTCAGTTACTTAATAATCGGAATGTTAAATGTTCTTTATAGACAAGTTCTGGAGTTATACAAATTCATAGACCCAGAGAGAGTCGCTATTTGGGGCCACAGCTATGGTGGTTACGCGACTTTACTCACCTTGGTTCATGATGACGAGAATATGTTCCAATGTGGAGTCTCAACTGCACCTGTCACCTCCTGGCTTTATTATAGTAAATATGATATACAAATTATATATTTTAATACAATATTACGAAATATTCTTTCGAGAATACATGAATGATCGATTAATGATTTCAATTTTTTAATATAATCTTGACTAATAGTTAGTTTATAATAGAAATAGGTTATGATTTGTATGAAGGATGAAATTGAAAGGGATTTTTTTTTATCACAGATTCTATGTATACCGAGAGGTATATGGGTTCGCCGACGGTTGAAGATAATTTGGCGGGATACCAAGCTGGTGACGTCACTTTGCTAGCTGAGAAACTCCGCGGGAAGAAGCTATACTTGATGCATGGAAACGCTGATGACAATGTACACTATCAGAACGCTGCCAAGTTGATGAGAGCGTTGCAGCAACGCAATATACCTTTTGATCAAATGGTAACAACACTTATACATATTATACGATAAAATACAAATTAAATTTACAAATTATTATTATATATTTTTATTATGTTTTTATATCCAATAATAAATCTAATTGCTTCTTAAAACGACGATCGCAAATGTATTTATTATGCTACATTAATTTAATTATGTAATTTTATCTGCCAATACATTACTACCGAGTTCCAAATTACATACGTCATGTCCCGGAAATCGCAGATTCGAATCCTGCTCGTGACTATGATATTTTGATCGTCACTCATTTGAATTTTAAATAATTTTTTTATCTGAACTTTGCCTAAATGCTATATATATAGAAACATATGAATATCATTAAATTTGTGGTTAATTAATTTATGTATTCCAGTCCTATCCCGATGAAGCCCACAGCTTATCGAACGTCAACATGCACAGATACGGAACAATGAACAAATATTGGGAGCAGTGTATACAAATGCCAGCTGAGAGATCCTAGTGTCAAAATGTATAAATCAATAATTATAATTCAGTCTTCATAGCTATTTAAGAATAAATGCCCCTTAGCGTCCTTGGAGATAAAACGCGGCGCAGTAACTTTTACTTTCACGTGTAATGTACATAATATTTCAAACATTTTATAATAGCGTGCTTGAATAAAATAAGTAAGATTTTGTTTATTTCTTTTATTTTATTAACACTTCTACCTTCTTCATCTACCTGGCAATTTCCCGGCTATAGCCAGGGTCTGCCTCACATGTTGTGAATAGTTAAGGCTAATTGTTTTTTAGGACCGGCCGGCCGCCTGCCTGACATCAACCTCCTTTTGGGAATCAGCATTAATCTGTGATGTCTAAATTTTCTTAGAAAGTACATATGACGCGGAAAAATCACTTTGGTACTTGCCCGGGCCAGGATCAAACCCGCGCTCTCGGCAACGAGAGACGGGCCCTCTAACCATTAGGCCACCACTGACTTTAATACTTCTACCTATTGTAATATAAAGATAAAAATTGGATATCCAATTAAATGTTTCATGAAGAAAAAGGACTTTATAAATTGAGATGAGAAAGCATCTGAATATTTTTAATTATCTAACAACGATGAGAAATATTGTGTCTGTCTTAGAGTTTTCTAGTAAGTCTGATAAAATACAAATACGTAATTGAATCGAACAGTTACAAAAAAATTTTCTTTTATCACATATAGTTCAAAATACCAAAGTAGAACAAAAACCTAAAAAAAATTAACATTTATTTATGAATTGATTGAAAAATTTACAAATTGACCTGAAGGTCAATTTGTAAATTTTTCTGTACTATCACAAAAACAAACATATTTTTAGTTTTAATGGTAATAGTTAATCTCTGGATTAACTTCGTAGGTTTACAATAGAAATAATCATGTTTATTTGTGTTCCATATTTGATAAAAGGATAAAAGATAAACTGGGCACATTGAAACGATCATTGACAATCATTTATGATATTAAAGTAACCGATGTAATAGTTAAAAGCGGAGGTTGGCGCCCGACAAAAGTGAAAGGGAGATGACCGTTCACGATTATACAATAGTGTTATGTTCACCAGAACGAGCGCAAGACTCACAACTTATACTATACCTTTATTTAAAATATACATTCTTTTTCATTCTTAATTAACTGTCATTTTAAAATTATATATTAAACAAAAACATGCACCGTATTTACACTTTCATTATTTTCTCTGTGTCAACATCAATTATAATTGGAACAGTTTTACTTCGCGGCAAATAAAATCTTAGAATATTAATCGTTCCGTCTCACGCTATGTTTACATTCTCTTGAGATATTCCTTTTTCCGTTGATCTTTTAACATATATCTGTGCTAAATGAAAAATAAACACACTTCAACTAAACAATCTTAAAGACAATAGATTGTAAGAAAATGCGTTGTCCATCATATATTTTCAATTAATTGTCATGTTGTTTGTTACAAATAAGAAAAAAATTTCACATAAAGTCTGAAGGAAAAGATATTTCTTATCGATTGTTGGATCGTCCTTCCGCTCTCCGTCTGAAACCTTCCGAAAATGTATTTCGTTCGGAAGTGAACCGCCTCTGGATATAATTTGCTTTTATGTGAAGCGACTGAGCATCGACACAATTTTATAAAGAACAGTTGTTTTTAAAATATTCAACAATTGTTCTATTATATCAAGTGAAGAAAGAGTAATGAAGTAATGCATGAGTGAAGGTGGAAGCAATGAAAAACAAACGAATCTACATACATATTTCTTTTGTTAGAACTACATAGATCAATTACTAGAAACACATGATTTATTGTATTGAGGTAATATTTTGATTTTTGATTATGATCTCTAGTTTATCGTAATATATATTTTTACTTCTACGTTTTCCTGTGATATAATGTTTCAGTTATTCAAAATGAATGACTTGTTTTTAGTTGTTTTTTTATTTAAAGCGTTATTAAACTTCATGTTTTATTTTTATTCGAAAGGAATCAAATAAGTCAATCAAGGTATTCCCCCATTAAACAAAATAGACAGCTTATTTTCGGGTTTATAAGTAAAAATAAACGTAAATACTAATTAGGTATTCATCATTTATTACGAGTTCGAGTACTACAAGTAGGAATATATGTGTCCTTGTTAAAATATAACATTTATAGTACAGGACACAGCTATTTAAAAATCAAACGATAATGTAAATTGAGTATTGTTTATTATAGTTTTGTGAACTCGCGAGTTGTGTAACTGTTAACATAACTGCATAATTTCATGGTGGCTGTAATTCCTAATAAATATATACATACATATGTACATATGTAATGTATAATATACACACATTACAACACGATAAGCTCTAAATTCCTTAAGATACTTTTATTTAAATATAAGCATATTTGTAATATTAAAATTAATGCATATTAAAGATCAGCCAAGGATCGTCGCGCATGGCAGTCTATTGTGGAAGAGGCCAAGACCCACAAAGGGTTGTAGCGCCGAAGAAAGTAAGTAAAGTAAGCATATTAAAGATGAGTATACATTTTTTTATTTATTCGTTCATCTGTTTCCTCCGGCTAAACTCAGAAACGGCTTGTCCGATTTTAAAGGGACTTATCATACTTATATAAAAATTTGGGTTATTTATATTTTATTAACAAATACAAATTTCAGATAAATATTTCATAGAGCAAATTCTGTGGCTAATGAAATTCAATTCTGTGGCAAATGAACTCTAAAAATAACTCATTTAATTGTGATGCTCTTTAATACTGTATTGAATAAATAATAACTAGTTATTGATCATGTTTTTGATTATAATTGTCAGATAAATCATTCGCTCATTGTAATTATCAACTATTTAATAAATGGTCTAGACCTAACAACTTTCTGAAACAAGGAAATAATATGTTGTCTTTAAAAACCCGCCCGTATTTAGATACTCAGAAATAATATGCAATAATTTAAAATAAATATGTAGTGCTATAAAGGCATAACAAAAATAAGAATTTTAGTATTTTGCATATGTACTAAAAATATTTTTTAATACATTACATGGAATGCGATAACATTTTTATTTTATTTCATGGTACTTTAATGAATGGAAACATTAAAATGGACAACCGCCATTTTTATTTCATGCTTATACAAAATTTTCACTCATTGAACTTGATCAATTTTAATTATCTCATATTTTAACTAAAATAGATTAAATAATTATTTCATAACAATAATTTACTTGTTTAAGATTTTTAAACAACTACCTAAATAATGAAGTCGAGAAATAAAGCTCATTCATTTGAATTCAGGGTTTGTAGGTAGGAAATAAATTAGATAAAGGTTACGCGGCCAAGTGTACCCTATATGCAAATGCACCAGATAAAACGAACAAGGTTCCGTTTCAGTTAAAATGACTTGAACCGTTAAGAAATAAATTTTAAAACTCATAAAGAATGGAAAAGATATAACCGTTTTTTTCTAATACTTCATTTAAAAACTTTTTATTAATTTAGCTCGTTTTTACATCCGATCATTTTAAAATAATATAAATATGTACATTGTACATATATAATAAAATTTACTTGGAAATTTAATTATACACTTGCCTTAAAATGTACCTCATACAAATATTTCATTCCTCACATGAGTCTTTTTCAAAAACCAATTATTTTCTTCCATAAATATAAATATATTTTTTATTATGTTCAGGAATATTATAAAACATTTAAGCTTTTCATGAAATTTATTTTTATAAGTGATGAAACCTCTTTCTGCGGGAATGTACACATGAGATTTTTTTTAATTGAGTTCTTTTTCTGGTAGTCATGGTGGCCTTGGCGAATTGCAATTGAGATTATTAGCTGCGATAACTAGATGAAATGCTGCTACGTCATCACACTACGAGTATAACGAGAATATAAAATTTCATTTTCTGAATAGATTCGACATTTATAAAAAGATATATTAATATTAAGTCAGTGGTGGCCTAGTGGTTAGACGGCCCCCCTCTCGTGCCCCAGGGAGCGAGTTCGATCCTGGCAAGTACCAATGTGATTTTTCGAAGTTATGTGTACTTTCTAAGGGTATTTAGACATCACTGGCAGACGGTGAAGGAAAACATCGTGGGGAAACCTGGACTTATAATTTCACAAAATTATAAGTTTGAAATCACCAACTCCTCTTGAGCATGCGTGGTGATTAATGCTCAATCCTTCTCCATGGACCATGTGAGAAGAGGCCTTTGCTCAGTAGTGGGCATTGATAGGCTGAAAAAATAATAATATAATAATATTTACTATAAATTAGGGTGTACACTGTACATACACTTGTACACTGTACACTTTATTAAATTTTATAATGCAAAATAAAATAAGTAATGATTACTTTGATTACGATTATAGGTATAAGTTACGAACTATCATTATAAAGTAATCTTTAAACTTTTAAACCAGGACAAGGTGATCGTATAGAATTATTTTAACAACAAAGTAAATAAAAACATTACGGATCCGCTCGGAATATTTACCTTCTACAATTTTTTTTAGGGAATGCTAAAAATAATCGAGTTGTCCTTAGCGAAATGTAATAAAAAGAAACTCGCTGTATATTTTTTTTCATTTAAAAAAACTACATTAAAAATTTTATCAAAATGGTTTTAGTCACAGTTTACTTAGGCAAATCGCGAGACTAATAAAGAGTATTTTTTTATTAGTTAAATTATATAAAATATAAATCTTAAACTTAAATCACGATATTATGCTTGTGTTTATAATTCTCTGGATTTGTTTCATATTATGACATGAAATTATATCTAAGCACATAATATTATATATGTAGGTATTTTGAATATGCTTGATAAGTGAGTAAACTTTTACGAAAAGAGAAAACAATGAAAAGAAAAGATTAATTTGATGCAACGGTCGTATAATTTAAGGATAATGATATTCACTCTGAATTTTTTTTGTTAATTTACATTTTAATAACAACACTTTAAAAAATATGCGTATTTATCAAATACAAGCAGAGTAATGTTCAGTTTATATGTTTAAGTTTACAATTATTATTGTAAACTTTAAATATTGGCACGGATCAGTGGATTTGTTACTCTTCACTGATAATCATACTTACTACAAAATTGATTTTGATGAAACAAATAAAACGGAATATCTCATATGTAAGAATAACTTATATGTTATTGCTTATCTTGAAATCCTAAGACTCGCTGGAGCATGCCAGTATCTTAGCTCATATTCCTAATTTGGTGTTGCATACTATAGCAGCGTTGTTAAGGAGCTTCGTAATGCGCAAGCGCAACTCCACTTACGCTTTAGACGTACCTTTGGTTTAACTGGGACTTTAACAGGTACAGGTTTTTATTAATAACTTTTCGATCAGAGATGATTTTCTTAGATTGAAGATTCAAATTCGAAATACTGATCTCTGGTGTGTGTTATGAATATAGGTGCTCTAAATCAGCTCCATATAAGAGTTAAGGTTTCAAAAATTTTGTATAGTAATCAATTGTAACATATACAGGGTGACTGGTGAATTACTATCAATATTTAAGGAGCATACTCGGTACATGATTCTCATTCGAATTATGTAAAAAAAAATAGGTACTTAATTTTTGACCAAATTTCCGTATAAATAAATAAAGTGTGTACACGTTCGAAGTGTTCCAAGTGTGGACGCGTGCGGCGGCGTGCTGATACAACATTACGCCGCCGCCGCGTCTGTGTGAGTGTGTGTGTATACCTAATCTGTAGGGTGTTCATACGATGCGTAATTAATTACATAACTTTTGGTTAACTTTACTTAGAAGTTTATTAATATTTATGTTATATTAATTTTTATTTTGTCATATATGATCGTCAAATATCACGTCCTCAAATATCGATAGTAATTCACCAGTCACCCTGTATATGTCAAAAGATTGATATGAAAAAATTATGCAGTCCTTGAATACAATCGTTTGAGTTTATATAAAAATCGGTTCATTTATTACCTTATTTTAAATCCACCTACTGTATTGATGGCTTAAAACTAGCTTTATATGATTAGAATCATTATTATAATGGAATTATAACAAAACCTTATTTGTAATTTCATTTGAACTATGACTTCAAAGAAATATATTTTTATTCAATAGTTATGGATATTAGTGAATTCAGTATATGAATAGTTCAGTATAGTTGTATGTATGAACATGACTTTTGATTGCTTAACGGTATGTTGTGAGCTGTGTACAACTGGATCATTGACCCCGTGTACTATGACAAAAATGTACTCATATTGAAATGCAAATATAAAATTTTATTCCATGAAAAATTATCAATACAATTATGCAAGGATAAGAATATTATTTTAAGTCAAATATCTCTCTAAATAAAATATTTTAAATACATTTTTATCACGTTACATTTGAAATTGAGATTTGATATTAAGGTATAATTTTTAAGTGAATATTTTTGCGTACAAATAAGTATAAAATCTGACTTTCCTGATTCGAACCATTGAAGCATATTGGTGGGTTGCGTAACGCTAAGCGTGTCAAACTCTAGCAAAGTAATTCAAATGACATTGGCCGCCACATCCTATTTTGTTGAATACAATTAGAGCGTAGAAAAACGTCCGCTTCGATTGTATACAAACTGGAGAGTGAGTTGCTGTACATTGAATAACATAAATCCATTTTAATGAACTAATATGTGATCTACACCGTGTCAAAGGAATTATTTATGGTGTGCGCTTATTTAAGTAAATTCTTTTATGGTCATCATATGTTTTTAAAAACAAGTTTCTTCATGGATTCCAGTACTCGACTTGTAAGGATTTAATGCTTTAGTATTCACTTTTGCCTTGACTTTGAGGTTTCGAAACAAGATTTTTGCGAAAATATTGATTGTCATAAAATAAAATTTAATAATATAATTTTAAAATAGGCATTTAAACATATTGTCTGGCCCTGGAATAGAAACGTAAACCACAGCCTTTATCTAGGTTGAACTGAATTCTTTGCATTTGTTAACAATAGTTTAAAACGATTACAATCATAATTAGAAATACGCATTCGTCACTGAGACAAAATATTTATTAGGTAACTATGGTGAACTAAAAATATGGATTATATTTAAAAAAATTGAATACTGTGAGCGTTGTTCCGACAAAATATATCAGTTTAATATTTTTTACTTTCAGATATAAAAATACTTCAAAGTATACATGAAGATTGTTGAGCACAAAAACATAACATTATTATATAACATACCCTTAATAAAAAACGAGTTTTAATTGTAACTTTTGATAAACAAATTATAATATAAATTTGAGAGTAAAGCCGAATAATAATTCAAATGTAGGTATGTACATCGAGTGAGAGCGCTGGCCGCAGGCGCGAGCGCAGTCTGTGTCTGTGCGGCGTGCGACCAACTTGTGTGATGTGATCTCATCTAGTCACTTCAATAGTTGAGGTACTATCCTCTTATACAGTGACGAGCCCATTCATAATAGTAAAATGGTATGTACATTCATTGATTCTATTATAACAGTATTGATATTATTATAAAAAAAAACTTAACTTAATAATAAGATCGAATAGCAGCGAGAACGCCTTAACTAATTTTACAATTAAGATTAATTAGTGCCTATTAAAAACCTCGTTGATAGTTTAAAAACAAGAAACATTTGATAATTCTTTATGGAGTTTATGATTTTATGATTTGTGTTAGTATATCACACGGTTTTTTATTATTTTTTGTTCTTCATAGTAATGTTATATGTAGCTGTATCGAACATGTGTTTCGTTCTGTTTGTTATAATCCATATTGTTTTATTATCTTCAATGAACGTATTTTCCAAATGGTATTCCATGGGTAATTGGAATTCAAGAGATAAAATACGTTAAACATGTATTGTCTTGTATTCAATTGGTTTTATTTCTCTTAATATGAAAAACGTAAAAACTTGGGACAATTAGAAATATTATATATTATTTACACGTTACAAATATAAGTATTATTTTAGAAATAAATTACAACAATGGTTATTATTTCATTTCCAAGTTTTAAATGTCCAAATTTAAAAAAATACATAGGTATATAGTAAATATTATTGTTGATAATGTGACCAGACGAGACCTAGCAGAGTTTGAAATACTTACATATATCTTCCTTCTGTATAAACAAAATTTTAAATATACCTGATTTTGGAAAAATATTAATAGAAAACAGACTTGAAAAATATTTTGATGAACCGATTTTACAATGGAAGGTTTTGAAATGGTATGTGTTAGGACAGTGTCGTTTGGTTTGATTTGAAAATTATTAGTTATAGGGGATTAAACAAATATTTATTTTTATTGTTTTTTCGGTATATAAACGTTTCTTCTATATAAAGAACAAAGACTTTGTCTCACATACACGGAAGGAAGGCCACTGGAATACTTCTGGTATACGACATTACAATACGTAAGAGATCGTGTATTACGACCTTTAATTAATAAATGGTTTATGAATGCACGTTTATAAAAACAATATGTAATGAAACACTGATAAGATTTTTACTATGACGACAAAGTATGACGTAGAGTCAATCAAAAAAAATACCAATAGTAGGATTGCTTTGAATTAATTAGTTATGTTTAAATAAATATTATCAATGTTTGTGCAGATGGTATGAAACTTACAAAAATATTCATTAATATAATTTAATACATTTAGACAAAGTAATACTACTTTCAAAGATATAACGTATTTATGAAAAGATCACTTATTAACTATTCACATTTAAATTCATTATGATTTCATTTAAATTATGATCCCAAAACCTCAAGTTATTCTTAAATTAATGAATTACAGAAATATCAATATATTATTCATATGAATTTATAAGTAATGTTAAATGTTCTTATGAAATCGAATGTAATTATGTAATTAATGTATAATATATTTAATTACAGAAATATAATCTAGTAGTCCTAGCAACGGCATTGGTGTATTTCCTTGCTGATTCTGTTGCTTCACCGCAAGGACTTCTGAAGACATTTACTTTGGAGGAACTGGTGCCTCTGCAACATGAGTTCTTCCCTGATAGAGTGGCTGTACAATGGATATCAGGTATATATAACTTATAGAAAACTTACTTGAAATATTCCTTTTCAATTAGAAGCAATAGTATTAACATAAGTGTTTATTTTTATTATAATATAATTCTATACGTATTTATGTCTTATAAGATATTTTTATAAGAACGTTACGATTATATTTAATGAAATTCACAAATAGTTAACATATAAACGTAGAAGGTTGTTATAGAAAAATGTAGAATATTAAATAAACGATTATTATTTATTACCAAAGTAATTAACAATTGTTTGGTATCTCATTTTAAAGACGGTATTAACAATTTTTAATAATCGACACCAAAAAAAAAATTAAATTATTTTGAACTTGATTTATTTCTTGTAATTTTCTTTACATATTTTTTTCACAAGGGTTACGGTGACCACCTTTACAATTATTACTATGTTCTAATTGATACAATACCTTCATTTCAGATACGGAGTATATTATAGCGGAACCAGATTCAGTAAATAAATATGACGCCATTACCGACACGTACAGCACAATACTGGACAAGAAGGAATTGGTAATGAATATATTATTATATTAGTTTAGGTTACGACTCAATTACATCAATTATTAATAATTTGATATTTCCAGCTCAACATGAGTCAGTTTTCTGTGTCCTCATTCTCAAATGATCAAAAATATGTACTGCTAGTACTTACACCAAGTAGAAAGAAGGTAAGGTTTCAATGTTATAATATAACCATTGTTTGAAAACATAATAAAACATATAACTGACGTTTAAATAGAACAATTATCAAGTAAAAACTTAACCATTCACAACCTAATAAATATGTATGATATAATAGAATGTGATCTGACGTCACTCTTTGTTCTTAATCCATAAAACAGTCTTATTGTAATGCTGTGGTTGTTTGTTAGCTTCGTAACACTTTTAAGTATTATCAACAGCGAAATTTAAGAAATATATTACAATTAAAGACGCGATGTGCATGTTAAATGTGATTGTTAAGTTATATTAACACGTTAACCTACTTGACGTAAGAGGATCCAGTTGCTTAATAAGAAATGAAATTACACTTAAGGATTTATTCAATAGACTTGAAATTGTTTTATAAAATAATATTTAATATTAAAAATGCACAAATATTATACACAAATCCTGACAGCGTTTAAAGGTCACCAAATATTCTATCTAAAGGTCACTTTCTATACATGTTTTGACAAAAACGCGGTCCGTGAATTGTAACTATAAAATTAGTATATTAATATACGATAGAACATATAATTAAAGCAACTTTCTAAATATAAATTGTTAATAATATAATATATTAGTTAAAGAGGTAATTAAGTCGAAATTTATTAGCACGATCGAAATAATTTTTATGCTGGAGGAAGAAATATATAATCGACATAAAAAGAAATTATATAGATATTTTTATTATTAATAAAGCTTATACTAATAAATTGATTAAAATGATAATTATTACACACGTGCGAATATCAAATAAACATACCATATACAATAGACCGTGGTTTGTTTACTTTTCTATCTTCAATAAGAATTTTTGCTTTATAAATATTATGTTTAACTCTCGTTCTTATAAAAAATATGGATAGCTATAGTTTTTTATATAAAATATGATAAAAATAAACGTTCCTACTATAACAAATAAATAATATCATCCATTTAACAATTTTTCCATAGTACAAATTATTTTTAAAGTATTGAGATACTAATGCCGTGGAAGCCGGTCTTAATGAAATAAAACGTACACGTTTTCTTGTTTATTCAACGATATTATGAAAAGTTCCAAAACAAATTGCAGTTGATATTTCAAATGTAAACATCTCGTTTAATTAAATTGTTGACATTACAGTTTTAATGATATCATTATGCTAATAACATAAAACTTAACCGATATTTAAGATAAAACATAATTGTTATTCAAAATAATTTAGACTATTTGACATATAACTAAATAACTCTTAAACTAGGCCTCCTCTGATTCTTTTAATTACATTTAATAAAGTTAAGTAAACCGTAAAATAATATATTTCCTAATTAACCTAATAAATATAGTGCAATTTTATTGTCATATTAAAATCAGCTTGTAAATAATTTCAGATTTATAGATATTCAACATTGGCTGAATATTCGCTGTACGATCTTGAGAAGAAGTGAGTACCGACGATATTTCAACAACGACAATTAACACAACAATGAATTCTTTATAGCGATTGGTTAAATAATATATGAATGATAATAATAATAATTATAAGTAAATAATCATGTTTTTTATTAATTTACAGTAAAATCGCTAACATCGCCCACGGACCGCTCCAAGTTGTTGTATGGGGCAGTGACAAGTCTTTAGCGTATGTTGAAGACAACAATGTGTACTATATACCTGACGTAGCTCAACCTGATGTTGTGACAGCACTGACAAAAGACGGCGTCCCAGGAGAAATATATCATGGTGTTACAGATTGGATTTACGAAGGTAATGCTTAATAAGAAATAACTAATATACATTTTTTCGAATTCTTTTTGAAAGGTAATATCGTCTAAAATTTTTCTGTGTATTGATTTCAGAGGAAGTGTTTAATGCAGCGGAAGCAATGTGGTTTTCACCTCATGGGACCTACTTGGCCGTAGCTACCTTCAATGACACTCAAGTGGAGTCCGCCTTATACCCCTACTACGGGGAACCGTCCGATTTTAATAGTCAATATCCTTTACTCGTTCATTTTAAATACCCTAAGGTTAGTGAGAATATTTTTGGTATGTACTCTTTATTTGTATTCTAGTTATAATTATAAAACTTATTTCTGTTTGTCAGGCAGGTCGTACGAATCCAAATGTGCAACTGCGTGTGTTCAATCTCAATGATACGTCCAGTGAGCCGATGATGATTCCAGCTCCTGTAGATATTGTGGGCCTTGATCACATTTTGGGAAGGGTTAATTGGGCTACTGACCAAAATCTCGTCGTCCTATGGCTTAGCAGACGACAGAGTGTCAGTGTTTTAGTAAACTGCAATCTAAAAGAGAACAAATGCAACATAGTGAAACAGCGCAATGAGCCTAATGGTTGGATTGATATCAACGAACCGTTTTTCGATAAATCGGGAAAGAAAATGTTAGAAATTCAACCCATGCATTACGAAGACCAGAGGTTTATGCATGTAGCACTTTTTGACTTTGAAACTCAAGAAACGACCGATTTGAGTCCAGGAAATTCCACAGTTACCGAAATATTAGGATGGGATCAGAAATCAGATATTGTTCTGTATATCGTATCCCCGGGACATGAACCTTGGCAAAGACAACTGTGGGGTGCCTCTAAAGGAATAAATAGATGCATTTCGTGCACCAAACCGACTTGTCACAACGTTGACGGAATGTTTTCACCAGGAGGTAGCTATGGAATCGTATCATGCAGTGCCGTAAATGTACCTCCAGTTACATACTTTTTCAAGAGCCAGGTATATTTTTAAATAAATAGCATATAGATATATCTATTATATAACATTATTGTTCAATCATACATTATTTTACAGAATAGAGGATTTAAGATAATAACGGAAAACTCGAAATTGCTTGAAAAATTGAGTCGGTATAAGATGCCTTTGGTCTTATTTAACAAAATATCATTAGAAGAGGATACGATGGCACATATCAAGTTGTTGTTGCCACCTGAAATGAAACCAGGGAAGAAGTATCCTATGATAGTGAGGTTATATGCTGGACCTGGGACCACTAGAGTCAAAGATACCTATGATCTAGGTATATAATTAATAGTTTGAAATATTTTTTACAGTCCCAAATATTATGACACTAGCTGCGCCCCGCGGTGTTACCCGCGGATTTCCGGGATGTAAAGTAGCCTATGTGTTATTCCTGGACATCAACTTCCTGTATACAAAATTATATTAAAATCGGTTCAGCCGTTTGAGCGTGAAGAAGTAACAAACATACACACACACTCACAAATTTTCGCAATTAAAATATTAGTAGGATATAATATTCGTATTTTTCGTTAACATTTCAGAATATTACAATCTTTATTTAAGCGGCAATCGTAGTTTCATAGTAGCGTCGATCGATGTAAGAGGTTCGGGAGCGATGGGTGTGGAGGCGATGCACGCCCTCAACAACGCTCTTGGGACTGTTGAAATTACCGATACTTTAACAGCTATCAGGTGAAATGTTTTATCATTAAAAAAAAAAATACATATATATGAAATAAATTGACTGCAATGAAAATATATTTATATCATTTTATTCCGTATGTTTTAGACGACTAGTGAATATGTATCCGTTCATCGATACCGAGCGTATTGGTGCTTGGGGATGGAGTTATGGTGGTTACGCTACCACTATGATGTTGATAAGAGACCATGACAAGATAGTAACGTGTGGCGCTGCTGTCGCTCCCGTTACTTCGTGGCTATATTATGGTATTAGAATCATACACTCTTATATTAATTTTACATGAATTTTGAGGTCAATTCTTGATGCTCAAAGTCCATAATAAAATATTAAAACCTTTATTCATTAAAAGACTAGTTAGTCCACTTCTAGGTCTATTTTTGACGTCAGTAGCCTATACAAGATTAGATATTTTATAACCTATTCATACTTCATCTTCTATTACATGTTATAAATCAAAAACAAAATTTCAGATACAATTTACACAGAGAGGTATATGGATACGCCTCAGAACAACCCAGTGGGTTATGAAAACTCAGACCTGATGATGCAAGCTGAAAAACTTAGAGACCGTCGATATCTTTTAGTTCATGGTACTGGTGATGACAATGTTCACTACCAACACAGCTTGCAACTAGCGAAGGTGCTACAAAGAGCTGACATAGCGTTTGAACAAATGGTATGTGTAAAACAAAATTACCTTGTTATTTACTTCATATAATTAGTCCGTATTAAAAAAGTAATCTTCATTTGTTATATAAGTATTTATATATTTAAATTCGTCTCCACTTGGCGTCTCAACGGGTGCCAATATTGGATAAACGTCCATTGTGAGACATTATTTTTGTCCTTGGCTGAAGATTTATTGCAAACTTAGTTGCTTATTTAAATTGCAATTGTTATTCAGTATTGCTTCCGGGGTGAATGAATATTTGAATGAACATCACCCACTTTCTTCACGGAGATATGTATATATTCCTCATTTTCATATTTTTTAAATTCATTTCTTTTTGTTACAGAGTTATACTGATGAAAATCATTCTTTGAGAGGTGTGAGTCGACATTTCTATCATACATTGGATCACTTCTGGTCGGAGTGTTTTAACTTATAAATGAATGTGTTCAAATAACTATACCATTTAAGACTGTGATTTCTATTTTTCATTGGTGAATAAAAAATGTTACCGTCATAATGAGTATGAATGGAAATAAATTATTAATACAACATTTTCGAGTCTTATTTTTGTTTTAAGTTGTTTCAATCTTATTATACGTAACTTTGCAATATTTATGTAAGGAAACAAATTAATAAAAAGTCTTCAATGGGTTCTTACTTACGTAAAAAGTTGGGAAGTAAAAGTAAAAGTAGTACAGTCAATACGATGTATAACAAATTTGTTACATAAATACTCTAAAACGAATATATTTCACACCTAATGCAATTAGAGCAAAAAGTTTTTACGTGATATATTTTTACATTTAGTGATTAAGAACTCTAGATTATACTCTATATGAAGTGACAGATCATCATTCTTTTGGTTTCATATAAATAAGCAGCAATTTCTTTATAACTTATGAAAATTTTAAGTGTTAAATATCTGTTTAAATCTTCAAAACCATGGCGGCGGATACAGATAAAATGGTAGTACTGTTAAAATACAGAATTTCTTGTATAAAAATACATAGTTCAGATATTTGATAGTTTGATTTTATTATTAATTGTTATGCTTGTAAAGGCTATCGGACAAGCCAGCTATGCTGTACGATTGCGGGCCAGACTTACGTGATAGGGGTGTATGTGGAATAGACCCATTCGATCCCAACAAATGTTATCAAGAACCACGCGTAGTCATCATAGGAGCGGGTATGGCCGGACTCTCGGCCGCCTCAAGATTATCACAACGTGGAATCAATAATCTTGTTGTGTTAGAAGCTTACGAAAGGTATTTGTATTAAAATTACTAATAGGTATTTTTATTTTCCAAATTCTGACCTATATATATTTCTATACCAAAGACCAGGAGGCCGCATCCACTCTTGTTGGTTGGGAGATGTTGTTGCTGAGCTCGGCGCTGATTTGGCAAATAGTGATTATTTTACTCATCCTGTATACAACCTCTCCGCCGCAGAACAACCTCCCCGTCCAGGTGTACCGGGTTCTGAACATACACGTGGACTGTTTAATAGTATTGTTACTAAGAAAATGCCATATCCACCAACCGTATCAGCATATTATAAATTTCGCCAAATTGAAGAAGAAGCTAGTAACATTTTTTGCCTTGGAGGAAGCAAACAGCATGGGTCATTAATTAATTTTATGAGCATAAGAATTCAACAGGAACTTCATGAATATCCAGAAGAACAGCAACATGACGCGGCTCGAATAATGTTTGGACTTACCCATATGATGAACGCTCGGTGTGGTGACGATACGGCAATGCTTTGTGCTGATCACACTGGCTGTTTTATGAACATGCCAGGAGGAGATGTGCGGGTGCCGTTGGGGACAATAGGCACACTTGCACCACTGTTACGTCAAATACCTGAAGGTGCAATACGATACTGTAAACCAGTGAACTGTGTGTATTGGGGCACTTGCATTAAATCAGGATATCGATCTACAGTTTGTACGACTGATGGAGATGAATTTCCTGCAGATTACGTTATTATTACAGCTTCTATTGGTGTTCTCTATGCAAATTCAACAAGACTATTTTGCCCTTCACTTCCCGCTTCTAAAATAGACGCTCTCAGATGCTTCGGGTTCGGGTATTGTAATAAAATTTATTTAGAGTATTGCCGTCCATTTTGGTTCTGGCATAATGAAAAATTAGATTTTGACTACACTTATGAAAGTTTATCTCATCGTAACGATTGGACACGGGGTATTGCAGCCATACGTGTGGTGCCAAATAGTAAACATGTAATTAGTGTTCTTGTATTTGGTAAAGAAGCGTTGACACTAGAAGGGCTTTGCGATAAAGACGTCGCAGAAGGAGTCACTGACCTTTTAAAATCATCGACGGGTAATCGCTATATTCCCTATCCCATGACAATTTTGCGATCTCATTGGGTTTCTGACCCATATTTTCAAGGTGTGTTTTCTTATGAAGGGAAGTGCACAGATGGTGAAGCACAAAGGGCTCTGGCGTGTCCTCTACCCGGTCCGAGTGAATCTATTCCACCTATTCTTCTATTTGCCGGAGAAGCAACTGTTCCAGCACATTATGGAACAATTGATGGTGCCAGAATAAGTGGTGTAAGGGAAGCGGAACGCATTGTACAGTTAACAAAGCAATTCGGAGGACCACCTCTACCATCTTCAATAAATCCCGTGTGTTGTGGCTGAAAATATTATTACACCATACACGTATAAAACTAAATAACATTATGTTGGTCTAGTGACGTGAACGTTAAAAATATAGCGAAACATTCCGCCGACTTACTGCAATGCAACTGTTAACTTCTGAGTATCTAAGAAAGTTTTCATGAATTCGATCGTGCCGCGAACTAATTCAGATAATTTGTTACTTCTCAGTTTTGTTCTAATAAATGATGTTATTGACTATGAAGTATATTTTTTTAATAAATTCAAGTTTATATACAAAATGTTGTAAGTATATCGGTAGTTTTTTGTTTTTTTTTTTATATCGAATTATTATATAGACTTAACAGTCAGATTTGTCTTAAGGACTTAATATACTGTATTTCCAACTAAATGGCTTGTCCTTTGTTGCGTTATTACATTTTAAATAATGCGCTGAAAGTCTTGCTGGCAATGAGCTTGTCTGACGTACTATGATGGCGCCGCCTTGTCTGTTACTGAAGAGATGGCTTGGCTCATATTCCCTGGATGATAAATGTACGGTCCACCAACAATTACTAAGCGTAATGAGAATTTACGCATAAACTTTTAGGAAACATTAAATATTTATGTTCATAATCACAATCACATTCCAGTTGATTTAAATAACGCATTTTTACGGAGGCTGTTGGTTCGAAACCTCTTCGTGCAGGTGAATTTTCATTCAGTATTTTCTATTACAATTTATTATCAAAAAATATATCATAGTTTATACAAATATAGTCATAAGAAACAATCCAATTCATTTAATTAAACATAGCTTAATAAAAAATCCTCAGAAATTCGAATGGCTTATCAATTTGTATTTTATAAGCCAAGAGACACAGGTGAAATTATCATGGTTTGTTATTTCATTTACCTTGTACATTTCTTTCGAATTGTTTGTTTGTTCCGGAGCAACGATTTGAGGGATCTGTTTTTATATTAAAAGTATTAGTATCTATCTGTCTTACTAAAATTATAATCGAATTTTATCTATCATGTAAAAACTACGGAAGGGATTTAGATAACAATAATAAATATTTAGGTGGTACATAAGCTTATTTTTACTGCATAAAATTTTGATGTCCGCTTCTACTGATATTGATCTTAAAGTATTCCACCTAAACAATTTCAAGACTAGGGAATAGGTCATATGTGTAATAGATTAAAAATAACACCTTATAGTTACATGAATTTAATATATAAAGTTTCATAGTTTCTAACTTTAATCCTTATGTAAGCTGCGCTTAATATAATGTAAGGGTAACATCTAAACGCCACTTCGCCCGAGGCTATGTTTCATGAGATCAGCGTTCTCATTACTTTCAATACTTGGCTGTGAATCGATAGCAGTACGGTGCCTAATTGTAATCCCGTAGGATTTAGGGTACGTAGTAAGAACTCCATTTGTGGAGTGGATCGCAAATGTACTGATTACTAAATTATATTTTAAGCAGTACATTATATATTAATTCACTACTTTAATACTGTTTGTGACCATGTATAAAATATTGTTTTATAATATTTTTACAACACCTTTCATCTGTTTCTATAATTGTACAAAATAATAGCTCGATTCAGAAAGGTTGACATGAGTGTCATAAAATAATGTATCCCTTTAAGAATAACGTGTTCGGATGTAAGGACCTAAGTAATATTCGATCAAAGGAAGATTTGGTTAAGTATTTGGTCGACATCACGACATAAATGATTGTTTCCATCGATGGGTACCCTTTGAACACGTCTCTGCGGATCGCGGGACGCAAGAATTTACTGAGATAGATGCGTGACGCAGCGCGCAGGACCGGCCCCCCGCGACGAGCAATGCGTGTCGCCCCCGCTAGCTCTGAGGCACCCAGCAAAAAACATCGATACTTGCGTGAGGCTGCAGCGGTGGCAGGTGGGCTGCGTGCTGTGCAGCGGAGTTGTGTGGCTTGTGGTGGTGCCAGTGCGAGCGTTGTGTGGTGCCGGTGCAGGCGGTGCGTGGCGCGCGCGGCGCGGCGGCGCGGCCCGGGCGGCAGTCGCTCGCAGCAAGCGGCCGGCGCGGGTCGCTCTTGCAAACACAGTGCAGTTTACATCGCGAATTGCTCTCGCGATACCGCCAGGTACATGACCTGATATAGTGCTTTACTACTCCCTCTTCACCAAACAGTTCGCACATATGCACTTTTCATTCATCAAACCATAATTTGAGGCACGAGATCGCGTAGTCCAGTACCCTCATGGCACGCGGGTTTTAAATTTTGGTGTGAATCCGTTTATTTTAAAATGAAAATGGAAAAGTTTAGCTTTCTTAAGCTGCGGTAAGATACATTTATCATAGATGTTTAAATAAAAAAATTATGTTCTTAATAAAATTTTAATTGCTGGACACTATTTTTTATTGTAATATTGGAAGAAGTACAAGTTATTAGATTATATCTCAACAGCTTCTTTATTTTTTTAAACAATAAGGAACGCCTAGTGTTTTATATCATAGATGATGTCGTGTGAGAAAAGAGCAATACTAGAATTGGCATCATTCCAAATGACAACTGCGCGCATCTACATTAAGAAAATATTTAAGAAAATTAGAAATATAATAAAAATACATTTTGAATCTGTACCACGACTCACCGATATATTGTACCCGCTTTTCACATGCTAAGCATATTTCTTCATTTACAGAGGTCGTGACACAAGATGTATGAGCGTTTTTCCTTTTATTTATGTAACATTTTCGACTCCCGTAATTGGGTGAGGAATAAATCAGTAACGTGAAATAAA